GCAATGGTGAAAAACGGGCAATTAGTACCGATCATTAGCGCTGCATAAATTCTTCTTCAGCGATGTACTACTTGAGGGACGCTTAGGAGAAATGGTTTTTAACCCGATTGCGACCCGCCGCGTTTTCGCGCGAAAACGGGGCGCCCTGGCCCGAGCAATGGTCGCACCCTCGCCGGCGGCTGGAACATGGGTGCCAGCACGCGGCCACGCCAGAGCTGTCATCTGTCTCGCGCCCCCAGCGGGGGGAGTATAAACTGTAATACGTTCATTTTCTTGCGTTCCCAGGGTTATTTTGTTGGGAAACCACCCCTAATTTTAGGTAGTAAAACGTCAGATAGGCAGTGTGTTATGGAGGCGCTGAATAAGGCGTTTGACTTGAGCTTGATTGGAAGTGACCGAAGAAGTGACCGAACCAAGCCTGGATAGCCCAGAAGGATACTGGGGTTTTCCGCGTGGTTCATTCTGAGGTGGGATGTTCCGATTGTGAATCAAGCGACCGAAGGCTCAGATAACGATGGGGAGCGACTCAATTGGGACTTCGAGTATCACAAGGCAGAAACAACTTCTTGACTACCCCAAATTGTCGCGTTTGGTGTAACTTGATGAGGAAAGTTCTATCGTACCAGTACCCCCAATTCCGCAATTTTCCCGGCGATTTTTCACAGATTGATTTCTGTTGATTGATTATAGAGAAAACCAATCGTTATGCCCCGGATTCAAAATGTGTCAAAACTGATTAAATCTTCGACGAGGGCGAACTACTGAAGTTTTTGGCGATTTGCTTCCAAATGGGACTCGAAATCAGGTCTAACCTCAAAGATTACTGGTCGTCAAGAAAGGTGTTTAGTGATGTTCCTCCATTGAGGTGTTTCCACACATAATCAATCAGCGTGTCCATTAATCCTTTATGGTCCAGTGTTGTAAAATGGTTTGAAAATAAATGAAGAAGATCACAATTGAAGTATTTCATGAAAAAGGTCAATAATCCAAGTGCTCCTTCAGCGATGGAGGTCCCACGTACTTATGTTGTTCTTCTGGGTGTTCGAAAAAATCATATGCGTCGTGAACTTTCTTGTGGCAGAAAATGAAATAATGAAAGAACTTAGAGTGGAGCGGAAGAATCAATTTCGTGCTGCACCCATGTGCAAGGCCAACGCGGCCATACGCGCGGACGTCCCGTGAGGCGTGCTGCACAGTGGTTGCAGCACGCGGTAACGCAGGTATGGTTAATCAGTAATGAATGTACAAAAAATAGTAACAAAACGCTGAGAAGTTTCCTGACAACCTTATAATAAAGGGCGTATAAAAAAATTTAATTCGTAACATCTTAAATTCATTTGCTTAATATAATAGTTAAGAAGTCATCGAATCAAGATCATAAAATTTACTATAGATATCTCAAAGTACTGTGGAACATATTCACAGTCAACATTAATGAAATTCATATTAAAACAAATAATATTAACCAGTAGTTGACAGGTTCCACATAAACCAGCATGAAGCCCGTTCGAATTTCATTGATAAAGAGTTGAACAACGTTATATGATTACAGCTTGCCCGTTCATCTGCAACTTTCATGTGAGCTTACCACTATTATGCACAAGAATATTCTGTGAATGGTAATTAAGGATATTTAATGAATATTGAGTGAAATGCAGAGACACATAAATGTTTTAGATTCCCAGATTGGGATTTTGTGTGGTACAAAGGCACTGTTTGTCAACTAGGTTATATGGTTATCTCTCAACACTGAAAAAGGGTCCATTCAACGAATATTGTGGCCATTCCAGATGAACCTTTGCACTACTTTCCTAGTGAATGGATTTACACTGGATTTCATTCCATCTAACTGCTCAACTGACTTCGAATAAAACACCAGATACCTAGTCAAACGGTTGAGCAATGAGCAAGAAGGCATTAATGCTGTGCTTATACGGAAGGTTATGCCCTGCATATTTTGAAAGAAGCTACAATGGGACGATACAGGAGGCGATCATACCACTAAATAGCCACCCGATGTAGGGCGGATCGGAGGCCAGTAAGGGCCCCTTCAGCAGGCTCCTCATACCTCTTTGCAGCGCACATCGAAGCCAATCTCGTGGTTTTCTGAATGAACTATCCAGATATTTTTGAGCAACGCTCTATAAGTAAAGGTGAGACCATCTCTCTCGTAAACACTTTCTCCGAAGCATTTGCTGAGAAAACACATTTTATCGCTGGTCCGTGTGAACGCTTTCACAGCGCAAATGAATCACCGCCATACGGGACATTGCTTTTGGAGGAAACCGTGCTTTTGAAGGAAACCGTGTAATGCCAGGTAAGCATGGGTGTTTATATGTTGTCCCTTTTGACGTAAAAGAAGCTGAACAAGGAACATGTCAGCAAAGTCACCAAATGAAACGCAGGTTCTGAAGCAAAGTCATGAATTCTTCACTCTGTAGTTCCAGCTCACAGAGGGTGAGACCAGGGCACGCCATCTCGTTGCGATCATTTTCTAGAAATGACCAACCCCCCCCAATTCATACTAAAATACGACCCCTACCCGACCCCCTCCCAAACCCTCTGTCCTTCCTCATTCGACGAAAGGCCGTCGAGCAGAGGGGAGGTCGTCAGAATCAAAACTATTTTTTTTCCAATTCTCTCTCCCAAAAATGATCAAGTACGACCCCCTCCCTTTACAGCGTCCGTGAAACAAGAGAAATCAACTATCTCCTGCAACTGAATTCCTTCACTCAGAGGATAGTAAGCCTCTGGAATGACTTACCGTCAGAGGTTGTTAACTCGAGCACTTCCGTTTCGTTCAGAAATAAACTTAGAAAAATTATGATTTCTCGTGGTTGGTTCTGAGAACAGAAACTGAACAATGTTCGCGTTGGCGAGGCCAGGATGTGATTTGTTGTTGCTGGTTCAATTTCTACCTATGTTCACAAGAGTGCTATGTAACGATGTGGTTTTTTTGTGTATTTTTTTCCGTTCGATTGCTGTCTAATGTTCTTGCTTTTTGTGTATGTGTTGTGTTCTACTATCCCCCCCCTACTATGAAGTTCAGTCTGCGGCCGTTGGAGTGGTATCAGCAAGGTTGGCGGACCTACTAAGTTGGTATCCGGAGTCCTAAATTTGCTGCCATGGACTTGCAGTGTTGGCGCCCACTGCCCTTCTGCGCTGTTTTCCCTCTCAACTTCGCAGGACTTTTCAGTTTATGACCTTACTGTGTTTTACTTATCGGAGTTATGTTTGTGGTTTTCTGCTTATATCTGAGCTTTCTTCAAATAGTCTGCCGATAATAAATCGTAAATCGTAAAACTATCAAAAAATTTTTTCTCTGACACCAAATACCCCCCCCCCCCTTGTGATGATCACAACGATGGCGTACCCTGGGTGAGACCGGTTATGATGCAGTACACTGTGAACGCAGTGGCAACGACGAAGAACTGCGAAAGGGGGAGTCAAAGTCGCTTTTCCAACGGAAATAGAAAAGTGAAGAACTTCTGCGCAATTAACCAGTGTGGAATAGGATGCGCCACCCATTTCCCTGCCATCAAAGTGAAATCTCAAATGTTTATTTAGAATACACGATGATTTGCGATAGCTAGCCATTGTGCAAGCCAACTTTTAAAGACACATGATTCCGCTGAGAGCCTGGGGTCTCATTTCTTCTCAAAACGGAGGAATCTCAAGTAAGCATTACGTAATTGCTATACTCGCCGAGTATGGTTTTCGATGATCGTTGGTATTGTAGAAAGTGAATATTTATCTATTTTCCAATATTTTCGAACTCAATAGGAGGCCGAGGCCGATATATACATCAGACAACTAATCCTTCTTTGTTCGAAGGTGGAAAGCGATGTATGCAGTCAAATACAAAATCCATAAGGACCTTATAAGGCCCAACTATTTCAACATAGGATTGATAAAGTACCATACCTTATTAGATCCCAAGATCGGCTCGCATATGACGGTATAGTAGCTAGTAAGATGGGGAAGCTATCCTATACTACAGGAGCGCTGTTATAGTGAGTGCACGAAGATCATCCCAAACCACGACTGCGCTACCGTCCGTAAACCGTGGACCCGTAATCCTAGAGCGTTTACCGCTAATGGATGACACTACGATTATCTGCGCTCTGCTAAGGCTGAGCCCAGGACGTGATCGTAGTGTGCTCTCTTGGCGCCAGCGTCAAGAATGAGTGTCATATTCGTAATCAGAATGTTAAATTACCCATGTGTACATGTTTTCAGCGGATTTAGTGATCTTTTCACTTTAAAAATAAGCTCGGTGCCGAAATTGCGTCCGTCCAAACGGCATTAGCCTTCTACCGTTAAGAGCGGCCTCAATACTCGATGGAATCCGCATTATACCACAGAATCACTCAATAAGTACTCCTCCATTTCTCTCTCTCTCTCCTCTCTCTCTCTCTCTCTCTCCAGAGCGCCGGGCAGTATGGTGACGACGGAACAAACCTTTTGCAGCCCTTCCCACGATTTGATACCGTACTTCCGCCTCCAGTCATCGTGCCTACCCCTTCAGAGGAGCTCGAAAAGACCCCTACTGCTGGAAGTGTCGCTTAGCAGATCCACGTTGAGGCAGATGGGGTTGCAAGTGGTGTGTTGTGCGCGGCATTTACACCACGATCTACTTCAATAAACGTGAATGTGCTGCAAAAAGCCGAGTCAACTATCCTTGAAATACTTTGGTCCTTTCTGTGTCGTGGCTCTGCCTAGTGACTTAGAACTTTCATGAAACTACTTCACTCCTTCCACATGTACAAAATACGAAAAGAAAAATCAAATACAATGCAATAGAAAACAAACTCCAGCTATCTAAACCCGTACAGGACCTATTCAGATGAGGCATTTGAAAACTTATACAGAATTACAATATGAACACGTATCATCGAGCATTAGTGACAGCAGTTTATAAAAAAAAAGAAAGATTTCTACAGAATAATAAAGACGTAGTGATAGAGGCGAAATAAATAGAGAAGCAGACGAACGTGAGCCTAGTTCTGCTCGTCCTGGTCGGAATCGCAAGCGTTGTAGTGCGAATAGGCGTAGCTGTATTTACGATTCACACTTGGGGGTCGGGAACACAGGCTGTTGTGACTGGCTGAGTGTCGTCGGCACAATGGCTTGGGCAGATAGTCCTCAGAAGTCACCGACACCGACGATGCTCCCGAATACGATCGCTGTCGTTTCACGTAGTCCATCGAATCTGCAATCATCAGTCTGATCAACATTATCCTGACGACCCTTCCTAATCTTTCACAAACCTTGTCGATTCAGCATCTTTTCACGCATATTCAGGAAATCTTTGTACGCGATTGGTGTGCTGAACATCCGTCCCAACACAACTATCGTCGCCAGCAGACCGGATATTATGCAGCATACTGTGAACACAGTCGGAACGACGAAGAACTGAAATAGATGAATTTTCTCTTGGTGAGTCTTACTCAGGGTACGTCGTATTTTTGAAAATCCTCAACAATGGTTCTTGTGTTGGCTCTGGTGGGAGCAGGTCGTATTTCACCTACGGAAAAAAAAGATTTCTGCCGACTTCTTCCGTTGCACGCGTACTATGCCCCCTAGCCGGCAAGCAGAGCGACAATATTACTATTTATTTCTTATAATGCTCAAAGCATTCACTCTTCCAACCCATTCCTCACTCGATCAACGGCGAAATTTCAGCAAGATTTGGTAAGATGGTTAGTCGGTTGTGAGAGGGGGCCGTACTAGAAGAGAACTTTCGGGAGGCGAACTTAGCAGAAATCCTCTCTAAACAGAAATCCTTGACAACGCCGGGACGTGTCCTAGTCACACTGTCAATGGAGATGAGAAGAACGGAAGTATCTGCCCACAGTAAAAATTTCCAGGTAAGCAGGAAACCAAAGGATAGAGGATAATGCTTTAAATGTGGACCGGTCCCCTCAGGGGATGCGCCAAGCGTTTCCTTTTCAGTTTAAAGCGTACAATCGATGTTTCGAACATGATTAGACGTATACAATGGTTTGCACCGGCCAACCGATGTACAAGTCAATGTTTGTGTTTTTGTTTTTTCGCTATCAATGATACCAGTTCATCGACCGTGAACAGGTGGAATGCATGGTTGAAGATTGGACCCCTGGACCGCGCGCGTTGCTTGCCACTACTGCACTTTCATCGCAAGTAAAGTGATACTCCGAACTCGACTAGTCCTTTTTGACATGAACCATGCAAAAAGTCACCTCCAGGAATTGTTTTTGTTGTTTTGTTCTTGTTTTTCATTTGTTCTTCCTTTCCTTTTATCGACGTCTATCTTCTCTGGCACTCTATTATGATGAGAGCGGATCATAGTGACTTCACAAAATTCTGTGGATTGCAGATTTTCAAAGCAAGAGTCACAGCAAGCAGTGAGCATGCTCCTACAAATGGTAGAAGAGCTTACACCAACTGTCTCCTTTTCTTTTTTCTTTCTTCTGGCTTTTATATGACCGGCCTACATCATCGTCAAAAAAGGAAGAAAGAATCAAGAAACTAGAACATAGAGGTATATTAGAAATAATGTGTAGTGCTATAACAGTACTCTACTACGACTGTGTAGGACCACGACCATCTGTGGGCTACATTCACGTTGCAGCGACGCATACAAACTCGTCAGTTGACTAGAAATGCTCTATCAGTTTCACATTAAATCATTTAGGTCTCGCTGCGGACACATGTGATGCCGCTCGCAGGGCCGCTTTCGCCACGTCTCCGCAACGTTGATGCCTAACCCACACCCAATTTGAGTGCACAACTATATAAGCACATTAGGAAGATACCTTCGAATATTTCTCGCAAAAGAGTTCAACAACCTTCAATGGGACTATTCAACTATTACCACCCCAATAGCACGAAAAAAAATTTGCTGGAAATTCGCCCACACCGTCACATGATGCCTTAATTATGAATGAATATCATATTCGTAATCATGATGTAAAGTAAACCCGTGTACAAGTTTTCTTCGATCTGGTGATTAAGGGTACTTTGGTGCCAGCGCGTGGGCCACGGGCGCCAGGCGGTTTTGGGCCAAGCGGATGTACTGTTGATGTTCAAGGGGAATTCCCCCCAAGAGTAGGTCTCCTTCGATTCTAGTGATTTAGGGTTTTGGGTGCGTGCGCCTGTGGTGCGGGCGCGCGGTAGTTTTAAGCCAAGCGGATGTGATATTTGGGTTCGGGAGGTCGAACTACCCTTAGGAACGAATTTTCAGAAAAATCTGCCTTCGTAGAAAAAAAGTCGGCCTGAAAATGTGTGCAGATTTCAAAAGATTGGGGTAGTAATAGTTGAATAGTGAGCCTTTCAGTGAAAGTCTAGAAGATCAGAAAACTTACAATGCTCAAGATGAACTTCTTTCTATGCTGACGCCAGGCATAGGAATAGAGAAGTGAAAAGACACAGGTCCAAAGGGCCACCAAAGCCTGTACGACATCGTAGAAGATTGACGTGGAGAGCTCCTTTCCAGAGTCTGATGACACCTGTAAGACTTTCAGCAATGAACACCAGTAAAACTCAGTTGCAGTGAAGCATTAAGATATTAGAAACTCAAAATAAAATGAATTATAAGTAAAGGACTGATATCTAGTCTATGAGGGGGGGGGCGCGAAGGTTCCAGCAAATATTTACAAAGGATGAAAAATATATGTTTAAGAAAACAATCGTCGTAAGGGAGATGTCACCGTCGAGTCGTCATATAGACATTTCGAGTAGTAGCTCAGAGCTGAACTTGTGAAATCAAGGACAGCATCGGAATCCAAATTTGCAATAACCATGTAGTATGGAAAAAGTTGAGAGAAGAAATGTTGAAGGAGTAATGTTTGAAGAGTGGAAGGAGCAGGTAGCGCTCAACGTTCGGGTCACAGAATAACGCTGCGCTGCAAATAACTAATCACTACTCGATAACAACACAACAACAAACCCCATCATGTGACGCTGAATGCGGAACTATCAGTGATTAACAGCAAGATTCTCGTGCAGTTATTTCCTCCGGGAACACCAAGGGGTGCAAGCAGGCCTACGTTGAAAAACAGCTGTGAGCCGCGGTAAGAAAGACAGGTGACGATATTGAGGGAAGTTGTCGAAGTTGTAATAGTTGAGTAGCAAACAGAAATGAAGTACGACAAACTGTGATTAACTGTGGCCCCAAATATGGATCGATGGGTAATTTTTGGCTGATCAGTGATGAAAAGAGGAGCTGAAGACGTCCCGAATAAGGCCCCAGAATTGGGAGAGTATTCCACGAAGCGAAATATTTCTCAAGGACATGGACTAAAGAAAAAAGATGGCAGAAGATGAGCTGGAGTTCAGCGAAACGA